TTTGTTTCATCCTTAGCTGAAGCAGGAATGGCTCTCGGGCAGGGTAATTCACCTGTATTAGACAGCCCCAACATGGCTCAATGCTCCTAATTCCATCTGCTGATAAAAGGCAATTTGACACCAAGCCTAAGCTGTTATTTTTCCAATAACAATGGTAGCATTTCATTAGAACTTCACTTGGTGCTTGCTTCCACGTAACAATGAACAGCACACTAATAGTTTCCTGACTAAAGGAAGGACCGACATCCAGCGCAGCTGCCACATTTTAAACGAGCTGCATGGCAGTGGTGTCTAATTATGCATAACTGTCGTTAATTATTTGTATTTCAAGCGGCTGGGAGGGTCAACTGGTCTCTAGTCCTTCCGAGTAGGACAGCAGGTTAGGTTGTCTCTGCCGGGCTGTCACAATTGGTTTGTAAAGATGACATGGATAGCCCGGCTGGTGTGGCTCAGTAGTTTAGTGTCCACCTATGAACCAGGAGGTCATGGTTCAATTCCATTTCAGGGCACATGCTCGATTCCCTGTGGGTGTTGTGCAGGAGGCAGCTGATCAATGATTCTCTCTCATCATTGATGTTTCTCTCTCTCTCTCCCCGTTCCTCTCTGAAATCAATAAAATAAAATATATTTTATTTCATTAAATAATTCAAAATACTGTAATAGTAAAAATTAATTACTATCAAAATAATGTGTCAAATTCAAGTGATTTGAATGCCACAACTTAAAAAAAATTACTTTAGAATCAGATATTGTTTTAAAACAATGTAAATTTAAAATAATTTTTTTTAAGTTGTGGCATTTAAATCACTGGAGTTTTACACATTATTTTGATAGTAATTAATTTTTCCTCATTGTTCAAAATGTTATTGAAATAAAATGTGAGATACATCTCACAAATGCAACACCCTTCACCTGCTACTGTGAGCTCAGTGTTCTTTCCATTTCCTCATTGTCGTATGTTAGTTCAATTTGTTGTGGAAATGTTCCCTATATTAAAAGGTAAATACTTGTAAAAAATAAATAAAGTGAAAAATAATAAAGAGAGAGAGAAAAGCTGCTTCACATTTCCCCTCCTCCAATTGATGACCCTCCATCATCCTCACATGGAAATGGCAGGAAAGCTAGCAATCCAGTGTGGTTTAAGGCGGAAATGCTGGAGTTCAAGTCCAAGCTCTGGCTTAAATGATGGCTCCGTGACCCGCCAATACCGTGACCTCCGCCTTTGTGAGGCTTAAGTGCCTTATTGTAAACTAGTGGCCCTGCGCACGAATCCGTGCACCAGTAGCTTGCCAGCAGCTCACTGCCGCCCTCCAGTATCTCTCCCCACCTGCCCCCCCCTCCTCATAGCCTGCTGCCCTGCCCCTTCCTGTAGCTCTCTGCTGCCTGCTTGTAGCTCACTGCCCCACCCTCCTGCTGATCCGTGATCCGGTCGTTATGCTTCACGGAGTAACACCATATTGCATATTACCTCTTTATTATATAGGATAGGGAAGTGCCTTCCTACCTCTATGTAGTAGTGCAAAGATTCAGGGAAATAACTATGCTCAACTTTCAGCTCCACATCCGACACAGTCAAGGAATTCAGTCAAGGCTGGTGAGGCCTCCATTGCCATCAATAACCATCTCCTGGTGTGCAGGGTGCTGGCACCTTTTTGGGGACTCCTGGCATGGAACAGAGATAGACCTTTCCCAGTAGCTGGTATTCATTCTAGGGGTCTAAATTGTGATGGTGGTGGTGGTGGTGGCAGTGGTGGTGGTGGTGGGTGTGGCCATCTGTTTGCATGTGGGTTGGGCTTTAACAATGTGCAAGCTTGATAATGTTTGGGAAGCATCTGCCACTTTCCTGAACCTGACTTTCCACTTCAGTGAAGAAAGGAAACAAGAGGAATGCGAGGGAGAAAGAGTGAGAGGAAAGGAGGGAGAGAGAAAAAAAAATCAGAATGAACAGCGGCAAATCTCCAATGCTTGAGGTTACTGATCGATCTTAGATCCACTCAGAGCTGAGCAGAGGCCTCAGGAGGCAAAGAAAATTGAACCAAGTTTCTGCAGGCTAGCTGGTTTTCAAAGCCCGTTTTCTCATCCGTTGCCAATGCCTGCCCCCTTGTGGACAGTCCTCAAATGCTTGTATTTTCTAAAATACCAGGAAACGGAAAGGCTCACAAGGAGAAAATGTTAGGCTTTCTGAGGTTCCCCGTTGCCTGCAGGGTAAAAATTCCTAGACACAGATCCTTCGTGACCTGTCCCCTGCAAACCAAGACAACGCCTCACTGTGCTAGCACTTTAATAAGCGTCTCTAGTCCCCCAACAATAGTGTTGATAAGAGACCAACCAGGTGATGGGACCAGAGTTCAAAACTAGCTTTCTTTTCTCCCTCGCTGTGTGACTCTGGGTAAGTTACCTAACCTCTCTCAGCTTGTACCTCATTTCCAAAATGAGGATAACAGCCCCTCACCTAGAGTGGTAGAGGTGACTGAAATAAAATGTAACATCTCACAAATGCAACACCCTTCACCTGCTACTGTGAGCTCAGTGTTCTTTCCATTTGCTTAATGAGCATTCATTATGAACTACATGAATGACAAATAAGGCACGGTTTTTAAAGACCTTATAGTCAGCCGAAACCAGTTTGGCCCTGTGGTAGAGCGTTGGTCTGCGGACTGAAAGGCCCCAGGTTTGATTCCGGTCAAGGGCATGTACCTGAGTTGCATGTACCCCAGTGGGGGATGTGCAAGACGCAGCTGGTCGATGTTTCTCTCTCATCGACGTTTCTAGCTCTCTCCCTTCCTCTCTGTAAAAAGTCAATAAAATATATTTTAAAAAATAAAAATCTTATAGTCAGCTGGAAGAGAAATAACTATAGATACATAATTATTTTTTATTTTATTTTTTTTATTTTGGTAAAGGAAGTAGTAAAGTTAAAGATAGTTGGAGCAAATCTAAGAGAAGGGATCATAGACTTTATTTTGGGAAGTAGTCCTTGAACGCCACCTCCAGCCTGTGACAGAGGACAGACATGGTCTGGGAGAGAGTACGGGAGAGCTCAGGGAGGTGTGGGAGGGGAGGCAGAGGCATGTGCTTCCTACAGGCCAGATGTGGCCCAGGTGGGAAGGAGCCAACCTCAAGCCACCCCGAAAAGGACATTGGCCAGCAGTGACCTGGGCCCAGTGACCCCAGACCAGTGGCAGCCACGGACATGGAGGGCTGCAGGGTTACACCTGCCAGAGGGGAAAACGGATGTTCAGGGTTGTGGGCAGACCCCAGGTGATGAATACTTTGGAATTAGACAGGGCTGGTGGTGACGGATCACAAACATAACAAATGCCACTGACTTTTCCTACTTTAAAATGATTAATTTTATGTGATGTGATTTTATCTCAATAATTTTTTTAATCAAAAAAGAACCTGGCCAGCCGAAACCGGCTTGGCTCAATGGAAAGAGCGTCGGCTTGAGGACTGAAGGGACCTGGGTTCAATTCCGGTCAAGGGCATGTACCTTAGTTGTGGGCATATCCCCAGTAGGGGGTGTGCAAGAGGCAGCTGATCGATGACTCTCTCATCGACGTTTCTAACTCTCTATCTCTCTCACTTCCTCTCTGTACAAAATCAATAAAATATATTTAAAAAAAAAAAAAAAAAAGAACCTGGCCAGAGTGACTCAGTGGTTGAGTGTTGACCTATGAACCAGGTCATGGTTCATACTCCGGTTCACATCAGCCAGGGCACAGGTCCAGGTTGTGGGCTCAATCCCCAGTGTGGGCGTGGAGGAGACAGCCAATCAGTGATTCTCTACCCCTCCCTTTCTGAAATCAGTAAAAACGTATTTTAAAAAAAGAAAATCCGTGGTACAGGTCTTTATGGACAGCAATCGGATGCCCAGGGTTCTGGACTCAGTTCTGCCACCTACTGGCAACGCAGATGCTACGCCAACTGGGTTTCCTCCTGTGTAAAATGAAGGATAGGGCCCATCACTGGTTCTCAGTGAGGAACAGACTGTAACGTCACATGGAGTGCCACTTCCAAAGGTTCAGGGCCAACAGGCCGGCCACCCTCAGATTCTGACATGCCCAAGCGAGGGACGTGCCTGTTGCTGTGTTGAAAAACGTACTTCAGGCCCCGCCCGAGCAGCTCAGATGGTTACAGCAGTGGTCACCGACTGGTGGTCCGTGAGGTCTGAAAGGTTGGCGACCACAGGATAAGAGCACTGTCCCGATATTCCAAGGTTGTGGGTTCGATCCTCAGTCAGGGCACATATAAGAAGCAACCAATGAATGCATAAGGGGAACAACCAATCAATGTTTCTCTCTTTCCCCTACCTGTCTTTTTCTCTAATATAAAAAACAAAACAAAATGCATTTCAGGGTTTGAATACAGTAGACTAAAGCTGCTAGCAGCCCATGATTCTAGTACGGAACTGTGTGTAAGACGTGCTTTAATCACAATCAACGAAGTGCATTTATTAGGAAATCATGAGTGGTCCTCTCCCACACTCGGCGACCGCACAGGGAGAAGATGCCTGACGGAGTCCATGGATCTTGCTTATACCACAAAGGGAGTTTTAAGGCAGTTTAATTCAATGCTGCAAAAACTACATCTGTGACAGGAACGTAACACTCAAAACAGCTTGGGACCCCAAATGTCCCCAACAGATCTCTGAACCGGTCAAGCCGACAGTCACTGACAGGGACAGACAAACAGTTTCAAAAGCAATTCAACACGATGCCGACCCAGAGGGGCCGTGCAGAGACTCCCGAAACCTAGGTGGTTAACACAGGTGGCTCACGGCACCCCCTGCAGGCCTCCCCACACACGGTTTTATTTCACACGAACATTTTACACTGACATTTCGTCTTAGGAAAGTAAGTGCACGTTAAGGTGAGAGAAAAACAGGTGTCGCTATCCAGAACCAACAAACAGGATTACAGAAAACACTGGGCCAGACGCGGCTACACTGAGATACGTTGGCTTTTCTGGCAGGCCCCTCGCAGGCACTGAGACGAAGCTTAAAAATACGCAGGGGTGAGTTCGGTCTTTCCCTCCGTCGTCACCACCTGGATTAGGCTCCCTGAGCTTGGCCGGTTTTTCTCTGTGATCCAGTCATGGAAGGTTCTAGAACAAACAAGGAAAGTGTTACGTTTTAAAAGCAAAAATGGGACACGTGCTTATATTCCCACCGATAGCTTGGGAGCCGCGCTGTGAAAAGCCACTGGGGCGTCACAGACACATAACCAGGTCCCCGTGATTCCAGCACTTCACTCCTTCCGCTTTCCGAGGGGCAGGAGCTGGCGAGATGTGAACGTTCGCTTTTGTATTTCCCGGCATTGCTGGAATATGTTATAACACAGCGGTATGATTTTACATAATTTTAAAAAAGCACTTTAGTTCATTCTAAAAGATAGACAGATGTGTAATAATACTTCATATGCTGCTATATTACCTTCCCAGAAATTTGAAATAGAGAAAGAAAAAAACTCATTTTTTTTTTTTTTATAGCAAACATGTATGGAACACTTACAGCTGTATCAGGCAATGGCGGGGGAAAAAAAGTACAAAAATAATTTACAATAAAATGCATTAAATGCTAGAACAGGGGCATTTACTAACTCTGTGTTGGGAGGGGCAACCAACCCTCCTTGAGGGAGGCAGGGAGAAAAGGCATAAGAAACCCAGGAGGGCCCTAACCCGTGTGGCTCCGTGGCTAGAGCATCGGCCTGCGGACTGAAGGGCGCCGGGTTCAATTCCAGTCAAAGGCATGTACCTTGGTTGTGGGCACATCCCCAGGAGGGGGCGTGTAGGAGGCAGCTGATCAATGTTTCTCTTTCATCATCGATGTTTCTAACTCTCCATCCCTCTCCCTTCTTCTCAATAAAAAATCAATAAAATATATTTTTTAAAAAGAAACCCAGGAGGTGGAACACACAGCTGATGCTTTTGGAAACCTCTCCTTTGGCTGTTGAGTACACCACCCCTCTAACAGTCCCCCGGCCTGGACTCTGCACCCCCTTTAACCGGACGGCACTCAGAGTTCCGGGGACATTCCTGAGTGCCAGGCCGTGCCTCCCGGACAAGAACTCAAGTTCAACTGCCACATCTCCGGAGCTCCGCCCGAGTGTGGAGCAAGCCCAGGGGAGGACACGTGCTGCCTTAGGGCATGACCTTGTCTCCGGGGCGGGGCAGGGCTGGAGACACCCCCCGACCCATGGGGTCCCCCGTCCCCCCGTCCCCCTCCCCCATATGAGAGTCACACTGACGTACCATGCACACTCGGGACACAGAAGGGGCTGGAGCCCCGGGCCCTGGCATTGTATGTGCGATACTCACTGTACCAGGAACTCCAAGGGCGTCCAGGAGCTGAAGTCGGCCTCGGGCATGGACTTCCTGTTCATCGGGGTGTCCAGGGTGATCCTGTGGAACAGAGGGAAGCCTATCACGTGTGTTCTCCTCGGCACCCGGCCTCCTCGGCCAGGAAAGCACACCGGGGCCCCGGCACCACGGGCGGCAGCATCGCACGTGGAGAAACCACGTGGAGAGACCACGTGGAGAGACCATGTGGGCAATCGGAGCGAGGCTGGGAAGCCGCTGCGCACACACAGGCCAAGTCCGAGTGTAAAACCAAATGAAAGAGCCACATTTGCCTTATTTTTTTAAATATAGTGTTGCCCGACGGGCACAGCTCAGTAGTTGAGCACTGAGTACTGACCTATGAGCCAGGAGGTCACTGTCAGGTCAATTCCCGGTAAGGGCACATGCCCAGGCTGCGGCTCAATCCCCCGCCGTGCGGGGTGTGCAGGAGGCAGCCAATCGATGATTCTCTTACATCATTGATGTTTCTCTCTCCCTCTCCCTTCCTCTCTGAAATCAATAAAAATGTATTTAAAAAAAAAAAAAAAAGACAGAACTACAAGTATCCAAATAAAATGTGTAAACTAAACTTAATCGGGGAGAAGGGGAAACAAATGAGAGGAAGGAAAAAAAAAACAAGAAAGAGGCAAGACAGACCAACCCATCCATCAGCCTGTCCACCGCTCTGGCCGCCAGGCTCGCCCAGCACCGGGAGAAGGCTCCTCAGGACCGGGTGAACTGTAGAGCCAGGGTGGCCACACACACGCGTCCCTGGGGAACAGTGCGAGGCCACGGGGACCCTAGGCAGAGGGGGCAGAGGGGGCCGAGGGGCAGAGCACTTACGGCAGCACGGCGATGGCCGCGGCCCCGGGCGGCATGCCGCTGTTCTTCCCCGCGAGGCTCTGGCAGAGCTGGTGGACCGCGCCCTTGGCCATGCCGTAGCCGATCATCCCTGGGAAACGGAGAGGAAACAGTCCCGTGAGCACTGGCCACCGCCGGGGTGTCCGAAGGCCACCGCCCAGGGCCCAGAGGAGGCGGGGAAGAAGGGCAGGATGGGCATCTATGGGGAGAGCGTGGGAGGCACCCAACACTGCAAGCGCACCTACTGGCACCTGGCAGTTAACGTTTATCACAAAAGCCGTAAGTATAGCCTATTTTTATTGTTATTGTTGAGAACATCCAAGCTCAAACAGGGTAAGTCACACGCCCAAACTCTCTCTCTCTCACACACACACACACACACATAAACACACACACACACACACACACACTGAGGCTCCCCAGAGGCGAAGGGCCAGGCAAGAGCTGGGCTCTGAACCTCCCGATTGTCCATTGCTTGGGAGCAAAATGGAGCTGTCATTTGGAGTCAGGCTGCACAGGTTCAAATCCGAGCTCTTCCACCCACCACCAAAGAAATCCTGAGCTAGTTCTCATGGCCCTGCTAACCTCAGCTACCCCGTCGGTACAATGGGAATGAAGTACTTACTTCTGAGCTCAGCACACAATAGGTGCACAATAAATGTCTCCCATCAAATTCAAAGAAGTAACACACCCAGGAGTCCGTCTCCCTGGGTAAAGTGTGAGCGACACTGACATACGGATGCAACGCTGCCCACTAGTCTTCCTTTGCCCCACTGCCCAGCGGATGCTTGCTGACTGAGCAGGGCGTGCCTTTTCTCAGGACAGGGGTCTGCCTGCTCTGCAGACAGGTGGCAGGGACGGGGTCTCTCCCCTCCACTGCCCCCACACACCTAGCTGTGGACGCTCACTAACTGCTGTAAACACCTCTCCTCCTCCACACAACTTCCGGAGTCAGCAGCCTCTTTAAAAGCTCCCGGCAGGCATGCTCTTCAGAACAAAACAGCTGAGGAGGCAGCAAAGGCCCAGAGGGAGGTGGGGATCACAGCCCAGGCGAGGGACCAATCACCAAACCGCTTCCACAGCAACCTCGGGTTGCAAAAGCAGGTCAAGGCCTCAAACGGTCATTTAGAAGCATCAGCAGAGTATTTCACCGTCCCAGGCTTCTCTATTTTTTTTATTTATTTTTTTTTTTTCACGTCAGACGGGTCACGTGCCAAAGGCGTAACAAGGTTAATGGGCGGCACATCTCACACAGCCCTGTGAACACCCAATCATCACGCTTATGAACTCTGAAAGGATCCGGCTTCTCTGTTTAACCGGGGGCCGGGGGCCACCAGCGGTAGAAAGATCAGACAAACTGCCGGTGTTCAAAGAATCCAACTCATGAATCTCATCCATCCATCCCCACCCCGACACACTCCAGGGCTCACTCTTCATTCCATTCCAACAACATGAGAGAGGATCTGATGAAAGAAACAAGCACCCAGCTGGTGTGGCTCAGTGGTTGGGTGTTGACCTATGAACCAGGAGGTCATGGTTCGATTCCCAGTCGAGGGCACATGCCCGGGTTATGGGCTCGATCCCCAGTAGTGGGCATGCAGGAGGCAGCCTATCGATGATTCTCTCTCATCATTGATGTTTCTCTCTCTCAATCTCCCTTCCTCACTGAAATTAATAAAAATGTATTTTTTGAAGCAAGTAACCCACAACCCTAATGGTTTAATTCTATAAAATTCTACACAATGCAGGGGAAGAAGTATTTTATAAGAAGCTAAGTACTTTCTTCCCAATTATAAAATGATCATGGTAGTCCCTCAAGACTGCTTTCCAAACACAGCAAAACCAAAGTGATCACTAGCATGTGATACAGTTTATCCTCCAGGTGACCTACAAATACAATCTTGAAAATAAGAGGGTGGGGTTTTCTGGGTATATTTTCGTTTTTAAACAACTTTTCTTGGGTTTGAAGGACTACTAAGCCTCTTCGTCATTTACTTTCAAATTATACAAAGAATTTCCCAGGTTTTCCTAGGGTCTGAACCAAAGCTGAAAGACTTCATGACTCAAATAAATTTAGCAATACTTACGGTAAGAACTTAAAGATGAGCACAGCTATGAGCATCTGCAGCAAAAGCAACTGAGCAAGAGGAAGTCTGCAATAATCATGCCAGGTCACATTTACTGCTGACTGTCATTCCTTTCTAAGGCATTTGCATCCATTAAGATGTTTGCAAGTCCTAACGGCCATATAGAATATTTGATTACTTATCCCCATTTTACAGATGACACTACTGAGCCTTAGACAGGTTAAGTAATTTGCCAAATATCACACACTAGGTGGCAAAACCACCGAAGACACCCAACCGGTATAGTCCCTGAGCCTGTGCTCTTAACCAGTACCCAAAACTATGAACAAAGAGATATTTACAAACCAAAGGAAAGTAGGAGAACCTTTTGTCCTTCGGAAAAATTACTCTTTCACGTCCTGGGGTTTTCTTTTTTAAATGCCAAGCTGATCCTCATTTCTCTACTTACTTCTGCTCTCCATCACCTTTAATAAAAATCAGAACTCAACCAAGCTAGCATCTGACATTTACACAGCTCTAACGACTGCAAGAGACATGGACGGGTAAGATTGTAAGCTCTGAGATGCGTAGTAAAAAAATAAGAGGCAAAAAATGCTGATTCGCAAGAGCCTCACAGTTCAGCGAGCTGCATTAAAAAGGAAAAAGATGCCCTAACTGGTTTGGCTCAGTGGATAGAGCGTCAGCCTGTGGACTGAAGGGTCTCGGGTTCGATTCCGGTCAAGGGCATATACCTTGGTTGCGGGCACATCCCCAGTAGGGGGTGTGCAAGAGGCGGCTGATGGATGTTTCTCTCTCATCGATGTTTCTAACTCTCTATGCATCTCCCTTCCTCTCTGTAAAAAAATCAATACATATATATATATATTATTTTTAAAGGAAAAAGGTGCTCAAGCTCTCCAGCACACTACAGAGGCCTAAAAGCAGCCCCCGCCCACCCCCCTTTTACTAAAGAGTTCCAGTAGAGGCGGACACTTTCTGCCTCTGTGCTGTAACCCCCAAACCCACTTAAATTCCTGTAACCCGCCGAAACTGGTTTGGCTCAGTGGTAGAGTGTCGGTCTGCGGACTGAAGGGTCCCGGGTTCGTTTCCGGTCAAGGGCATGTACGTTGGTTGCGGGCACATCCCCAGTGGGGAGTGTGCAAGAGGCAGCTGGTCGATGTTTCTCTCTCATCGACGTTTCTAGCTCTCTATCTCTCTCCCTTCCTCTCTGTAAAAAATCAAAAAAAATATATTTAAATTCCTGTAACCCTACCTGAAAGGGGGTATTATGGGTTGAATTGCGCCCCCCAAATTCATATGTTAACGTCCTAAACCTCAGTATGTGCCTGTACTTGGAGATGGGGTCTTTAAAATGAGGTCATTAGGGTGGGGGCTACCATGTGACCGGTGTCCTTATAAGAGGAGACTGGGACCCAAACAGGCACAGGGGCCGACCATGCGAGGGCTCAGAGAAGACAGCCTCTGACACGCCAAGGAAAGAGGCACCACGAAGAAATCAAGACACCGACCCTGCTGACACCGGCTCTTGAACTTCCGGCCTCTAGAACCAGGAGACGAACATCTGTCGTCTAAGCCGCAGGGGTACTTGGTTACGGCAGCCAGGGCACACTAACCCCGGGAGCAGAACACGCCAAGGAACAACATAAACTGAAAACAGATCCAGAGACAGAGAAACATGGATCAGACCGTCAAACCTCGGAGGGAAGACAGGGGAGGGTGGGTGAAGGGGGAGAGAGCAACCAAAGGACATGTATGCATGCGTATGAGCCTCACCAATGGACCCAGACACAGGGGGGTGAGGGCATGAGTGAGGGGGATGGGGGATAACAGGGAAATAAGAACACATATATAACACATTAATCAATAAAAATTAAAAAAATTAAAAAAGCCAAGGGAACTTGGATCTGCCAGAGATCCTGGGAAAAGCACACTGTTTAGAAGTGACGGGGGTTCTGGTTCAAAGTAAGGATAAAACTTAGTTACTGCAGAAACCCAGACAAGTGAGTTAACCACGCTATGTTCCAGCTCCCTGACCTACAGACGGAGAAGGTCACGAATGCCCTCGGCCCCAGGGTCCCCTGGGAGCACACAGACGTGAAGGGGCCGGTGAGGAGCTGGCCCTGAGCCGGGCGCCTCGCACATGTTAAGGCCTCAGCGCTGACGGCTGCTCTCGTGGCAGACGCTGCTGTCACCAGTTGTTACGGTGATTCCGGCAGAAGTCTGGTCAGATGTGCCATCTGTTCCGGACCACCCGTCTAGGACGGAGAACACACCCCAGCCTCTCTGTCTGTCGCCCACACTGTTCTCGGCGGCTGAGCTGCCTCCCCGGGACACCCGAGCGAGCCCAGTGTGATGGTGATGATACACGTTTATTCTCTGATCTGTACCTACTCCAGCACCGCTCGTTCCCGGAGTGGATTGTGGGTAAATAAACCAGATTGGAGGGGAAGGGGGGGGAAAGGGGCAGATGGCAGCATTCCTTAGCCACTGGGAAGATGAGGAATTCAGGCCTAAAGGAAGCAAAACCCACCCTCACAAAGCACCCCAGAAAAGGCTTCAACATTCCCCGTCTCACCAAAGGACCCCGCTGCCCCAGCGAGCAAGCATCAGCGCTCCCATGCCACAGAGGGGGACGGGGAGGCTTACCGGGAGTGCCGTCCAGCGCGGCCTTGGCGCCCGCCAAGGTCAGGAGGCCCCCTTCCTTGAGGTGCTTGGTGGCCAGGTGGCTCGAGATGGTGGACGTCCACAGGCTCTGCTTCCACATGAGGTCGCAGTTCTTGAAGAGAGCTGAGGGGGAAAGCAGAGGGGGGCTCAGCCTGGGCGGGGGGAGCCCGACAGCGGAGTCCCTCGGGGTGCGAACCCCGGGGAAGCACCGGCCTCCCCCGCCCCGACGGCAGGGTCTGGTACGAGCAGCGAGGGCTCTGAGGTCAGAGACGCGGGTTCCAATCCTGGCCACCAGTCCCAGCCTGCTCCCCTGCCTCAGCTCAGCCGGGAAGGCAGACTGTGAACAGTCCGCGGGACGACCCGCAGGAGAGGGGCCTGCTCGGTGAGGGCGTGAGGTTTGTAACGGGACCTGCGTGTCTACGTCAGGTTTGAGTGATGGACCGTTGCCACAGGACACAGAGGGCTTTTACAAAGCTGCATTTTCAAGGCCGAAAGTTTAATGCGGGCTTTGAAGACCCTTTAAAAGAAAGCTGAGCCCTGGCCAGTGTGGCTCAATAGTTAGAGCATCGGCCCACACACACCCAAGGATTGTGGGTTCGATTTCGGTCAAGGGCACGTACTTGGGTTGCAGGTGCGCTCTAGTTGCAGGGACACATGAGCACAACGTGATGGTGGGGGGCAACAGTGGATGTGTCTCTCTCATATGGATCACATGTATGTTTCTTTCTCTCTCTCTCTCCATCCCTCCCTCCATGCCACCCTCTCTGAAAAGCAATAGAAAGAAATATGTAAGGATCTACAAAAACAAAAAAAAAGCTGAAATGATAACATTTCACACTTATTTTAACTCTCTGGCCCCGCTGAAAATGCAGGAAGAAACGAGTGGTGACTGCAGTAGCCGTCCCCTCCCCCTCACTAGGCACAAAGCCCCATGAGGCTGTGCCCATGGCCAGGAAGAAGGCCCTCCAATCCAGCAGGGGATCTTCCCCCAGGGACGGCGTTTCCCTGCAGAAAAAGACCCGGGCTGACCATTTCTTGTTCCCAAAATACACAAAAGGCCATCAGGGTGTCCTGCCAAAACCCCGTAAGATATCAGGTTCACAGTCGGGTGTGGCTCACAGGAAATCGATTCCTTTCTACACGGCTTTGGCTAATCCATGTAGAAGGAATGACAGAATCAGGAAACGCCATTCTCCAACCCCCACTGCGATCACTGACTCCGATCACTGACTCTGGCAGGGATGATCCATGGATGCCTGACACCCTTAGGCGACAGAAACCTGGGATTCCCACGGTGTATGGGAAGCGGATATGCACGCACAATGCAAAGCACCGTCCCACGGGTCGCTTACCAATTGCAAACAGAAAACAGACCTTTACAGTGGAAGCCTATCGGCTAACCCCCAAACCATCGGCAAACGGGGCATCCGGCCACCTGACACGGTGACAGTCCCACTGGGATTGGTAAGAAGTACACATGACTCAGGAAGAATTCTCGCCTCCAAGATGCTTAACCTGACCCTAAGCAAATCCCAGACTTAAATTCCAGCGCACTGGAAATACTCTGGCTAGATGAACAGGAGAAGACAGAAACAGTGAGATGCATTTGTATGAAAACTGCCCCGCCTCACCAAGTCTATCACAGGATTGGGGAGGGGCAGAGATTCTGCATTAAGAGACTAAAAACAACAAAAGGAGGCATAAACCCTGATGCTTAGGGGAAAAAACTCTAAAAGCTCTGGAATACACTGGGGAGTTTGAATGTGGGCTGGATCTTATTAATCTTACAGAATGACTATTACTTTCCTTAGCTATGGTAACAGTATGATGCTGGCGTAGGGAAATGAGCATGTTCTTTGGGGACGCATGCTGAAATCAGCAAAGGGTTAATTTACTCGCCAGTGGTTAACAAAGAAATGCCCACAGGGCACCCCTGCAGAGAGCCAGCAGCCAGGACAGCAGTGTCAGCAGGTGCGAATCAGTGCTCCCTGAACTCTTCTCCCAGCTTCTCCGGGTGTTTGCATGTGTCCATAATAAAAAGCTGGAAAATGTACTCAGCGTTGCTAACAGCTCAATGCGGGGACCTTTTGACCCCCGGAGCAATCTCTCCGTGTCATGCACGTCCCCCGGTTCCCCGGGAATAAGCCCTGTGAGATCAGGGCGGGAGCCATGCTGAGTCCATCCTGCCTGACACCTCACGCTCAGTGTCCCTCCTCTAGCCCCGTGTCCGGGAAGCTGTTTCTTCGGCTGTGAAATGGGGTGGCCGTCTCTACCTCACAGAGCTGCTGTACAGAGTGAGGGACACACGCAGGAAAACACCCGGCCTGGCACGCGGAACCGGCCCGGCCCTGCCCCCGGACAAAGAGCAGAGCAGAGCAGAGCGGGGTGAATGATCAGCTCAGACAAGGACTCACACTTGGACTTGGCATTGCCCCCGGCCCAGCCTCCAGCCACACACAGGATGGCGTCCACCTTCTCTTCACCCAGGAGCTTCCCGACCTCGGCCGTCACCTGGAAAGGACAAGAGGCATTAAATCGTCGGGGAAACCCAAACAGGCCGTTTATTTCCCACTTTCTCGGAAGATGGGTCACGGCACCTGGCAGGGAACACTCTGAAAACCAAATGCAGGACGAGCCTACGATGGCCATTTGGGTTAGCAAAGCCCACCTACATTTCCATGCGATGTTTATAAAGCAATCTAGAATCTTCTTTTCAATTTTTATTTTTATTGACTTCAGAGAGAAAGGGAGAAGGAGAGAGAAACAGAAACATCAATGATGAGAGAGAACCACTGATCGGCTGCCTTCTGCATGCCCCTACTGGTGATCGAGCCCGCAACCCCAGCATGTGCCCTGACCAGGAATCAAACCGTGACCTCCTGGTTCATTGATCAATGCTCAACCACTGAGCCACACCGGCTGGCCCTCCCTTCATTCTTAAGCCACATCCTGTTGCCAAGAGCCCAGAATCCAGCTGCCGGAAGTTGGATCACCACCCCTGACATCTGTTCTAACTTTTAGGAAAGCAGGGAGCCCACAGCAACAATGAAACTGTTTGAACTCTTATTTTTTTTCTTTTTTTACATCTATGCATTTTTTTTAATTCCTCCCCTTAAATGTTGCTTTCTACCCAATAGTTTTCTATAAATTTTTTTAAAATATATTATCGTTTTTTTACAGAGAGAAAGGGAGAGGGACAGAGAGCTGAATGAGAGAAAAACAACAATCAGCCGCCTCCTGCACACCCACCATCAGTGATGTGCCCACAACCAAGGTACATGCCCCTGACCCAGAATCGAACCCGGGACCCTTCAGTCCGCAGGCCGACACTCTATCCACTGAGCCACACTGGTCAGGACAGTTTTCTATAAATTTCATGCCTTCCTGGCTTCTGCACCTCTTCACTATCACTAGTGAACTGCTGCCCCGAGGGCCAATTTCATATGCATTAGGTTGAATTTCCTCTTCTACAGCTTCACAGACAAAAACTGGATGTTGTGCTATTGTCCAAGAAATTCCTAATTGGGTGTGGGGGAGGAAGAAGTTAAAGAGATTAAAAGTTCTATATAGTCAAGTCTCAGATACAAGCAGCTTCACATTCAAAAAGCATATAGAGCCCTAACTGGTTTGGCTCAGTGGACAGAGCGTCAGCCTGAGGACAGAAGGGTCCCAGGTTCAATTTCGGTCAAGGGCATGTACCTTGGTTGCGGGCACATCCCCAGTAGGAGGTGTGCAAGAGGCAGCTGCTCGATGTTTCTCTCTCAACAATGTTTCTGACTCTGTCCCTCTCTTTTCCTCTCTGTAAAAAATCAATAAAATATATATATTTTTTTAAAAATCACACAGACATCAGCACCGGCAACCAAGAGCAGCAGATGCTGGCTGCAGGAACCACTCTGCCGTGGCTCTCAGAGCCCGGGCCCCCCTGGACTTAATTCCAGCTTCCTTTACTTTATCCGCATGGAGCTGCTTTGCTGCCAGGCAGCTGAGCACACAGTGAGGAGAGCAGGCCTCCACTGTCCAGTTCAAATCCTGGCTGGGCCACCTCCCACCTGTTGGACTTTAAGCAAATACTGGGGCCTCTCTGTGCCTCAGACTCCCCATTTCTAAAAGGAAGACAAATTAGGAACTTTGCTCTGGGGTGTTACAGACATTCAGCAAGTTCATGTGAATAAAGCACTTAGGCTGAAACCAGTTTGGCTCAATAGATAGAGCGTCGGCTTGGGGACTGAAAGGTCCCGGGTTCGATTCCGGTCAAGGGCATGTACCTTGGTTGCGGGCATATCCCCAGTAGGGGGTGTGCAAGAGGCAGCTGATCGATGACTCTCTCTCATCGATGTTTCTAACTCTCTATCTCTCTCCCTTCCTCTCTGTACAAAATCAATAAAATATATATATATATATATATATATAAAACTTTGGTTTCCTTATAAAAAATAAATAAATAAAAATAAAGCACTTAGGATGATGCCTGACCCATAACAATGCCATGTCCATGAAAGCCAGTAATGCAGAAAACTTCAGGGCCATATTGTGAAAAGTTAAGAGCAGAGGCCTTGGCCGGTGTGGCTCAGTCGATGGAGTGTTGTCCCAGGCATCAAACGGTCACCGGTTAAATTCCCAGTCAGGGCGTTTACCCAGATTGGTGTTCAATCTCTGCATATAGGAGGCAATTGATCAATGTTCCTCTCTCACATCGATGTTTCTCCCTCCCCTTTCCTCTTTGTTCAAATTCAACCAGATAAAATAAAGACGTATTTAAAAAAAAGAAAAGTGCCGAAACCAGTTTAGCTCAGTGGGTAGAGCGTCGGTCTGTGGACTGAAAGGTCCCAGGTTCGATTCCAGTCAAGGGCATGTACAGGAGGCAGCTGGTCAATGTTTCTAGCTCTCTATCCCTCTCCCTTCCTTTCTGTAAAAAAATCAATAAAATATATTTTTTTAAAAAGAAAGAAAAAAAAGAAAAGTAAGAGCAACAAAATTTCCCTCAGTGGCCACACAAGGCTTTCATAATTAGAGAAATAATACTTGAAAAAGGGATGAGCACATGGCCAGTGGAGACCTATGCCCAGGGCCCGCCCCCCCCCCCCCCCAGGCTTGGGGGCCTTTTCTGGAATTACCTGGTCAGCCTGCTCGGTGAACGAGTCTGTCATCCTAACGACAACGCTCGCGCTGGCCTCTTCATTCTCCACCACGTCGATGCTGGCCACCCACTGGAGTGAAGACAGAAACAGCTTTGGTCAAGAGACAATAGTTTGATTCCTTTAAAGATCCACGACCAGAATAGGGCCGTGGGGGGCAAGGGACATGCCCCCAGCACAGAGGGTTTGAATCCTACGTCTGCCATGCAGTGGCTTTCTCAGCTCATGCTCTGCTTAAGGTCCTCGCCTGCCCAATGGGGTTTGCGATAAACACGGTTAGTGTGAGAATTAAATGAAACAGAGGAGACCCTAAACGGTGTGGCTCAGTGGATAGAGCGTCAGCCTGTGGACTGAAAGGTCCCAGGTTCAATTCCAGTCAAGGGCATGTACCTTGGTTGTAGGCACATCCCCAGTAGGAGGTGTGCAGGAGACAGCTGATTTATGTTTTTAGCTCTCTATCCTTATCCCTTTCTCTCTGAGATCAATAAAAAATATTTTTTAATCTTTTAAAATATATTTTATTGATTTTTTACAGAGAGGAAAGGAGAGGGATAGAGAGCTAGAAACGTCGATGAGAAACATCGACCAGCTGCCTCCTGCACACCCCCCACTGGGGATGTGCCCGCAACCAAGGTACGTGTCCTTAACCAGAATCAAACCTGGAATCCTTCAGTCCGCAGGCCGATGCTCTATCCACTGAGCCAAACCGGTTTTGGCAATAAAAAGTATTTTAAAAAAGATAAACAGAGGCGGCGGTGGTGGCTGCCAGCCCAAGTGACACAGGGATCTTACCCCAAAAGGGCCAGGGCCCTGAGGTCTGAAGGCCCAGAGATAAAGATCTGTACCCAGCTCTGAGGAACACAGCCTCCACTCAGGAACGCTCACTACTTGTCACCAGCCATGGGAGCGACTGAGACAGACAAGGTTCCATCCCAGACCTCCCAGGAATGAAAGGGGTGGGGGCAGTCACAGGTAAAGCAAATGCCCCCATCAGGGCGAAGTCACCCCCTCCCCCCAGGGAAGACCATAGCGCTTGCATCTGTAGCACATGGATACCAACAGGACTCTGTAGTAAAATGATCTTGTAGAGTAAGAGAAACAAAGAGTGCTTCAGGGCGGAAACCGGTTTGGCTCAGTGATAGAGCATCGGTCTGCAGACTGAAGGGTCCCAGGTTCGATTCCAGTCAAGGGCATGTACATTGGTTATGGGCACATCCCCAGTAGGGGTTGTGCAGGAGGCAGCTGGTCGATGTTTCTCTCTCATCGACGTTTCTAGCTCTCTATCTCTCTTCCTTTCTTCCTCTGTGGAAAATCAATAAAATATATATTTTTTAAAAATAAATAAAAAAGAGTGCATCAGGGACCTGGTCTGTAGGAACACAGTGCCTAGCCTGCCTGGAATCCTTAAACTTGACAATGGTCACCACCTCCCATCCATGCAGACTTCCCAGCTTCCAGAGCAGGTGTGCGGCAGGAAGGGGTGGCGTGTTTAGAATTCCTTAGAAGCATATTCCTGTGTCAGAATCTGAGCCAGAAGAAAACCCTGGTACCCTCTCTCTCTGGGCCCAGGGCACCCTCACCCAGCAGCTGCTGCTGCTACTGTGCTAACGGATCCCTCAGGCAAGCTCCCCAGAGCTCCAGCGTGGACTTTGAGCAGGTGACAGCTGCAGCAGCAAGACACAGGGCAGAGTCTCCACCAGGAACGTGCCGATCCCCGCTGGGAGGCTGGGGTCAGGGTTCCTGGCCTGTGCCCAGCTCAGTTCCTACAGGGCCACCTCCAGGGAGTGACCCTGATTATGCAAAGCAGCTGACATTGTCTCCTAATCAAAGAAGCCTCCGGTGTTTGAAGGGCTGAGCCTTCACGGTATCTGGTCCAATGGAGACTAAAGGGACAGGAGTCTAGATCAGTATTTCCATAACAGGGGAGAGAGAAACTGCTCTGCCCTTCTAGATTCTTCCAGCTGGCCTGATAATGAAATCAGCATGAGAGATTAACAAGGGAAAACAACTAAATCGAATTGCAGAAGTACATACGGGGGCCCCACACAGATTAAGGTCAGAGACCGAACGTTAAAATGAAGTATGAGTTAGCTTCTGAGCTAAGGATGAGGGAAGGCACCTTGGGGCCGCAGAAGGGAGAAAGGTCATTCAAAGGACATAAGAAAAGCAGACGTTCAGTCATTAGTTTGCACTGCCCTACACACAGGTCCTAAAAACATTTTTCTGGTGATGACCCATTACGATGAAGGCCCCTAACTTAAAATTTTTAAGGGAGAGGTAAAAGTTTATCTTGAACCCACAGGGCCTCTAGCCTTTGGTTCAAAATAACTCACGTGCCGAAGTGGCATATCTTGGGGAAGCCTCTTGTGAACCCCTTCAATATACAAAATAAATAGAACCATAACAACTACCGTTGACACATCTTTTACCTGGAGTCGGGTCATTGACACGCTAGGACACCCATGACCCCGTTTCATCCTCACAACTCCCCTAAGGGGCCGATCCTAGCATGATCCCCATTACACAGACGTGGAAACGGGTTCCTGGGAGTGAAGCAATCAATTCACGGCGGGTATCAGGACTGGGAACCAGATCCAGGCGGTGTGTATTTCCCAATCCTTCCTCCTCCTCTCTCCCTGGCCACTCACCTGCCTCCTCTTCCTCCCGCTCTGCTATTCTCCCCTGAGTCATGCCGGGCTGCCGGGGCCGCCGCCGGCGGAGACCCAGGGGCAGCCGCCCCCTCCCGCTTTGAGCCGAGGCCGAACCCAGGGCCGGGGCGGGCGCGCACGCAGAGGCAGGAGCAGGCAGACGTGCAGACTCGTGTGTGCACCTTCAAGCATCCACCTGTGTGTGGGGTGCACAGGGAGCCCCAGCTTCCTGCAGACCGGCCTCCCAGGATGCACCGGAAGGCCCCTGCACCCCAATCCCCATCGCCCCTGCCCTCCACCCAGGCCGCCCCTCCAGGCACAGCCCCGGCGCCCCACCCGCGGACTCACCCAGTCGCGGGCCCGGAACGCCTGCACGCAGCGGGAGCCCAGCGCGCCCCGGCCGCCGTACACCAGCACCCGGCGCGCCTCGCCCGCCGCCGCCGCCATCCTGCGCTTCCCGCTGGTCCCGCTGGTCCCGCTGCTCCGACCGCCCGAGCCGCACGCTGCGCCCCCCGCGCGCCCCGCCCCGCCGGCAAGGACGGCCAACCAGTGGAGAGGAACTGCCCCCACGCGTCCCGCCCCTCCAGGGCCGGGCAACCAATGAAGAGAAACTGCCCCCCCTCGCGCGCCCCGCACCCCCAAGACCAGCCAACCAGCTCAGAGGAATAGCGCCAGTGCGTCCCGCCCCGCCCCGGCCGGCCAACCAGTAGAGAGGATCCGCCCCCTAGCGCCCCACCCCTCTCAGGCCGGCCAACCAGTGGAGAGAAACCGCTTCCGCGTGCCCCGCCCTGCCCGGGCCGCCCAACCAGTGGAGAGGAATCGCCCCCTCGTGCCCCGCCCCGCCCGTGCCGCCCAACCAGTGGAGAGAAACCGCGCGCGGCCGCGCCCCGCATAGCGCCCGCTGCAGCCGCCCAGCTCGCGGCCGGGCTCCGGGAGGAAGGAGACCCAGAGGGGCGGGCACTCTTGGCCGCGCCCCCATCCCGGCGGCCGCCCCAGGACGGGTGCATCCGCTGAGCCCCGCAGCCTGCGGGGAGGTGCGGAGTACCGGCCTGCGGGGCGCGGGGCTTAGGCCAGAGCGGTGGAGGGCAGGAGTGCGGGAGTGGGGATGGCCCCGGCCATCACCGCAGCATCAGAGAATGAGAGATAAGACAAACCACGAGTGAGAACGTGTAATACCTTCACCAATAAAGAAAGAAGAAAAAAAGTACAAATTGGCAGTTACAAAATAGTCATAAGGATGTAAATAAAGTACATCATAAGAAATATAATCAATGATGTTGTAACAGCTATGTTGTACACCTGAAACCAATAGAATATTGTATGTCAACTGTAATTAAAATATTAAAAATTGAACTAAAAACTCAAAAAAAAGAAGAAAAAAAAAAAAAAGACAGACCACTAGTATAGAGTTTTCCTCTAAATAGGAGTGAAGGCTACCTTGGCCACCCTGCTTAATAGCCTCAGTCTCCTCGCCAGTGAAAGGGGAATAACTAAGCTGCCTATGGTTTGGGAAAGGGTTTTAAAAGCTGAAACTAGAGCTGTGTGGCTCTAAATAGTAGTAGGAGTTCAATAAGTGCTGATCAAGCATTATTAATGTTGCCATTTTTGCCACCGTTACATTACAATTCATTGGGCCTCTTAGAGATTGTGAGTTCCAGGCTTCTTGCATTTTGGGAATCGGGGGGAGGGGGATATTTTAATACCATTGGGGGGGGCCATATTTAAGCATTAACATTTACCAAACCAACAATACAAAAGTTGTAGCATACTGTAGTTTAAGTGTTTGCATGTCCCAAATGAATGCTTTTAATAAAAATAAATACTGCTTGCTTAAAAATATGAGTACGTAACAGGCCTCTGGTCTGGTAGGAACACACGTTCAGTGGTGTCTAGTCCTATAATACTGTCCTTGGACCTCTGTGACCGTGTGTAAGCCCCATCAAATGGTACCACCTGCCTCACCAATACAGCCTGGCACTTCCTCTCTTGCAAACAGTTCACTCTGCTCATGGCCTGTGCCCTTCATGCAGGGTTTCTCAATCATAGCACTGTCTGTTCTGTGCAGCCACGGGGGGCGGAGGGCATCAGTCCTGTGCCTTCTAAGGATGCTTACAGCATCTCTGGTCTCTACTTCCTAGCTAGGTGCAGCGCCCCACACATAGTCATCACAATCAAAAATATCACCAGATATTTCCAAAGGTCCCCCCGAGAGGAAGGGTGCCGGGGGAGGCAACATCACCCTTGGTGGAGGGCCGCTGTCCTAAAACTGCTGTAAGCTTGCCAGCAGGATCCCGTATCACACATCTTTGTGTCACTCTCCACCCAAACACAGGGCCTGGTCCCCAGGACACACACAAGCTTATGCAGACACGGCGTGCAGGAATACATCGTGAGAGAACAGGCTGCATCCTGTAACTCATTGTATTATCAGATGTATCATTACCAGAAACAGAATTACTAGGGGACTGGGTGGGGAGAACGCCAGTTATTTAGGGCCCTCCGTATGCCACGCATGTGCTAAGTGGCCTGCGTAGGCCATTTCATGTTACCTCGAACCGCAGTCCTGTGACAAGTTAGGAAACAGTCATGCGAGTCCAGGGCACGTGCCCAGAAGAGCCGGAATTTGAACCCAGGTCTTTAATGGCTCTGCTCAAGCTCATCTCCAATGTCATGCCAAGGGCCTGTAGGGGAATCAGATGTTTCCCAGAGAGTTTTTCTAAACGTAATTGCTTCACCTCTGAAACATCGAAAGTTGACATAGGTGCATCATTTGGGGCCAAAATGTGATGCAAAAGTATTGCTCATGCCCTGCCTATCAAAGCATGCTTCATGTTAAAACAGAATGCCATTATTGGCAACGTGTTCATGTGCCAAGAAGTCTTCTATTATTTTTTGCTTCATTTTAAATTTGATTCCCAATTACAGTTCACTTTCAGTATTATTTTGTATTTGTTTCAGGTGTCCGGCATAGTGATAGATCCTCCCTTCTTCCAACTGATGGACTGAGAATGATGTAAACTCCACCTGCAGCAGGACATTCCTGAGCACTGGACCACCAATCAGCACCTGCCAAATACTCTAAGCCCCCCATTCCTAAGTCCCTAAGTCCCTAATCATAGGCCTTACATGAAATCACCAATCAGCGTGTGCCGAGTGCCCTAAGCCCCGCCCCTGCTCTTTCCTCCCCTTAAAAGGTGCCTGAACCCCAGCCCTCTCTCTTTCTCCTCTGGAAGCAGCCGGCAGTGGTACTCTTCTCTCCAATAAAGCCTGTGTCCTGGCATCCGGTCTCTGGCCCCTCTGTTTCATCTTTCACACAGTTTACAAAGTGTTCCCCCGATATTTCCGGTACCCACCTGGCACCGTACATACACAACTATGACAATCCTATTGACTGTGTTCCCCGTGCCGTACTTTGCATCCTCGTCACAATTTTCTAACTGCCAATTTGTGGTTTTTTTAAATAAATCTTTATGTTGAAAGTCAACATATGTCCTTTCCCTCCCCCATCCCCGCTCCCATTGACCCATTCCAGCCCACCACTGCCCGCCACCCCCGAAGCCCTCTTTTATAAGTAATTTGTTATTTATTACCAGGAAAATGCCATGTTAAGGTCATTGTGATGAAGATGAGCTATTGCAGGTCAAACACCTGACTCCCAGTGTTTTCAGGAGAGAAATGGCTGGAATAGTCAGTACATCCCCGCCCCGCCCCGCCCCCATCCCCGCCTCCCACAGAGGGTTCCAGAGCATCAGGGTGGGCAAGCCCTGGAAAGCCCTTTGCAGGTGGTAGAGCTCTGCAGAAGCTTTTGGGGAGGGGGTTTCTTCGTGTGGAGACACCCCAGACGTGAACCCCAGTTACAGGGAAGGACCCTGGCTTTCCATTCCCCTGTCTGCTCCCCCCTCGGCACTCTCCAGCTGAGGCCCCTGAACCTCCTGTTGGTTAGCAAGGAACCCTGGGGCCCCCCTCCAGACTTCTGTGACCCCAAAAAGGGATTTTTACGTGACCCTTCTGTCCAATCCGGCTCCCCAATGCCATTGCCAGTCTCACAAGATAGTAAAGGGACATTTAAGCAATAGACCACAAGTCAGCATTTTTAAAGCCACCGTATAAGATAGAAATAAGGGACTGTTTCATTTCTAGTGGCTGCAGAATAAAAGAAAAAGAGAGGAAGAGTCCAGCACGGGGCTAGGGGAGTGGGAGGGGGAGGGCATTATTTGCTAACACATTGGAAAATCACGTTTCTTTCCCAGGTCAGTGATGCTACAAGCATGGGGCGGCAGAGAGGACTGCAGTGGCACCCAGGCCGCAGTCTCACCCAGGGCAGATTCCCCCCAGGGGGAAATCCAGGAGCAGCCGTCAAGCCCTGTTCACACACTTCAGTTAGAAACCTTCAGCACAGCCAAAACCGATTTGGTTCAGTGGATAGAGCATCAGCCTGCAGACTGAAAGGTCCCAGGTTCAAGTCCAGTCAAGGGCATGTACCTTGGTTGTGGGCACATCCCCAGTAGGGGGTGTGCAGGATGCAGCTGATTGATGCTTCTCTCTCATCAACGTTTCTAACTGTCTATCCCTCTCCCTTCCTCTCTGTAAAAAAAAATCAATAAAATACATTTTTTAAAAAGCCTTCAGCATCGAAGTCATCTCACGGTATTTCTGACAGCGGTGACATCTCAGAGAGAGAAGCGCCCTGCAGGCATCAGAATGATGGACATCTGACACCATGCGTTGTTGGCAATAGTCAGGGGCTCACCATTCCACGGTTTTCCTTCCTCCGTGTGCTTTTTGAGTGATTGTCGGTGTCTCTGTAGAGTCAGGCCTGCCTGGTTCTGCCTGCTAATGACATCTTCGACGTGAAGAGTCCACACCGGGGTTATTTAAATACGTGAAAGGGGGAAGGAACAATTAAACCCCGGTGAAACATTAGGCGGGCGGGAGGTATAGGGTTTCTTCCTTCAGTGGCACACTTGGCTACCCTGGCAGGCGAAGGGCTCTCTCAGAGGCTCAGGGACGCGGTTGTAAACACCGGCCCGAACGCAGGGCTGCGGGAGGCCCGGAGCATGGACTTGGGGTCTTGACATGGTGGGTTTCGAGGAGCTGATCTTGGGCCAGAGGGTCACCCAGCGCCCCGACGATGTCAACGGCCCCCCCTGCGGCTCTCACGCCCGGGGGATGACCTGTGCCCACTAGGATGCCCGGATGGTTCAAGAAGGCATGGTACGGGCTGGCATCTCTGCTCAGCTTCTCCTCCTTCATCCTCATCATCGTCGCTCTGGTGCTGCCCCACTGGCTGAGCGGGAAGATCCTCTGTCAGACGGGAGTGGACCTGGTCAACGCCACGGACCCCGAGCTGGTCAAGTTCATCGGGGACATCTACTACGGGCTCTTCCGAGGGTGCAAGGTGCGGCAGTGCGGGCTCGGGGGCCGCGAGTCCCAGTTCACCAGTGAGTATGTTCGCGGCAGGAAAGATACTTTAGATGCTCACACCTGTTTTTCCAAATCTGGAAGGGTGCTCGTGGCGAAATGTGGAGTTTGACTTCTGCCTCGCCCTGAGACACAAGGACAAAGTTCACACTCCCCTGGGGGTTCTTGTTCAGCACTAAGGAGAGACCTCGTCCCCCCTGTGAAGGCTCGTAGAGACGTTAGAAATAGGGACTTGTGTTCCTTTTCGTTTACCCCTATTCATAACAGCCGCTAAGATATTGAGTGCTTTCTTGAGCCAGACATTCTGCTTTGTGCTTCACACGGCTGGTCTCTTAAGCCTTACAACACATTTCTAAAGAAGGAATTATTAACGGTCCCATTTTGCGGAGGACCACAGTGAGGCTCAGAGAGGTTGCATAGCTTGCCTGAGGTTGCCCAGCCTGGAAGGAGCAGAGAGGGACTTCATGGCCACACCCCCTGCCTCGGGCACTCTTGGCCAGTCCCACTGGCAGGTGCAGGAGGCTGCAAGCAGAAAACAGCCACCAGAGAGCATGGCAACTGCTTCCACTTTCATTTATATAAAAGCTTGGTGTCTGCCCGGCTGGTGTGGCTCAGTGGTTGAGTGTTGACCTATGAACCGGGAGGTCATGGTTCAATTCCTGGGCAGGGCAGGTGCCCAGGTTACAGGCTTGATTCCCAGTGGGGGAGGGGTGCATGCAGGAGGCAGCCAGTCAATGATTCTCTTATCATTGATGTTTCTATCCCTCTTTCCCTCTCTCTTCCTCTCTGAAATCAGTAAAAAAAAAAAAAAAAAAAAAAAAAAAAAAAAAAAAAAAAAATTTAATTAAAACTTTAAGGTCTGAGAAAAGCAAATGGGGTCTGTGCTGGGCTCTGGAATCAGACCAGGCCGGTTCAAAGCCCAGCGTGCATGTTTGCTGGCGGGAGACCTCAGACAGGGCTGCCGGCCATGAACGTGGGCGGGCACGAGCATTGGCTGACAGGCACAAGTGCTGGCCGGCAGCCAGTGTCACATCAGAGCTTCTCTGGATGTAAGGAGAGCAGGACTCCGGGACTGGCCTTCCGGAAAGAAAAAAACAAAAACAAAAAAGACAATATCCTGCAAGCCTTTGGAGTCAGATCGCTGGTGAGAACAGCGCTCTACAAAATCAAAATTACTCAGCATATTGCTGAGAATAAAGTATTCGTTATTTGATTTTATAGTTCAGAATTGTAGTTCTTAAGCTGGGCCATTGACAAATACTCTAATACAAATTGACATCATTTAAATACATGAAGGAAATACATATTTTGTTATGTGTATTCAAGAACATAAGAATAGTTGCATTTACCCGCCAATGAAATTAGAATGGGATAATGAGGATATTGGAATATATAGCTCTATTAAAAAATAACAGCCCTGGCCAGGTGGCTCAATTGGTTGGTATGTCATCATGTACAACAAAAGATCAGGGGTTCGATTCTAGGTCAGGGCAATTACCTAGGTTTCGAGTTCAATCCTCAGTCTGAGCACAGATGGGAGGCAACTGATCGATGTTTCTCTCTCTCAAAATCAATTTTAAAAAAAGTATCCTCGGGTGAGGATTTAAAAAAAAGACATAACATAAACGGCTGAACACACACACACACATACACACATATATGAACAGTTAAATCAAAATAAAGGACAAGTTAAAAAGAAACACCCCAGAGCATCAATTTCCAAACCAATCATAGAGAAAATCAAAGAACTATATGTTTACCCTGGAACAACATGGGGGTTAGAGGTCCCACAACTGTAAGTTTAACCTTCTGTTTACAAGATGAAATGATCAGCATGTAAGTGCACCTGTGAAGTTCAAATCCATGTTGTTCAAGAGTCAGCTGTAGCCGAAACCGGTTTGGCTCAATGGATAGAGCATCGGCTTGGGGACTGAAAGGTCCCGGGTTCGATTCCAGTCAAATGCATGTACCTTGGTTGCGGGCATATCCCCGGTAGGGGGTGTGCAAGTGGCAGCTGATCGATGACTCTCTCTCATCGATGTTTCTAACAATCTCTCTCTCTCCCTTCCTCTCTGTACAAAATCAATAAAATATATTTAAAAAAAAAAAAAAAAAGAGTCAGCTGTAGTCCTGGCTGGGTAGCTCAGTTGGTTAAAGCCACTTCCTGATACACCAAGGTTGTGGGTTCCATCCCCAGTAGGGGTCACATACAATAACCCACCAATGAATGCATAACTGAGAAGAACAACAAATTGATTTATCTGTCTATCTATCTCTCTAAAATCAATCAATCAATCAATAAAAATTTAGGGGAGGAGGGAGTCAACTGTACATAACAACCAGTTAAGATCCTTTTTCATACCTGAGGACACATGTCTAACAATTTCATCTTTTGCTACTGGAATGAATATCCAATATATACAGCTTTGAACATATGCGAGTGTGCTCTCATGAAATCGCTTTGATAGAGTTACCAAATTGCCCTCTCAGGAGAGTATATGAATTAATATTCTATACAGTTTGACACCATTATCAACACAGTGTATTGGCAAATTTTTTTATCTTTGCCAATCACATAGTGATTCTTTCCTATTTTAAGTGTTTGGTGAGGATTGCGATGCTAGTCGTGTTCTCAGGAGTGCATGTCAAGAAAAGGGATAATGAGCCCGGCTGGCGTGGCTCAGTGGTTGAATGTCAACTTATGAACCAGGAGGTCACAATTCCATTCCCAGTTGGGGTAATATGCCCAGGTTGCAGGCTCGATCCCCAGTGTAGAGTGTGCAGGTGGCAGCTGATCTATGATTCTCTCTCATCATTGATATTTCTATCTCTCTCTCCCTCTCCCTTCCTCTCTAAAAGCAATAAAATATATATTTCAAAAAGGAAGAAAGAGGTAATGAAACAAGTAGGTAACCAGGCAAAGCTACTATGTTTGGAATAAAAAGGGGCTGAAAGTGTGAAAAGAAAAACAAAATTATATTAGGGGCACTGAGATGGGAGAGAAGGACGAGGAGCCTTACGCAGGAAAATCCCTTGGAAAGGAGTTTATTTTCCAGGGTCAAGTTTCCAGTGCTCATGAGATAACCTGGTGGAGATAACTATAAATGGAAACACTTCTAGATAGGAAGTTAGATCAAAACTAAGGACGCAGACACAGAGTGTCTGGAAACTCTGAGTGGAAAGGACACCTTAAAGGAATACAGGCCAAAATGCTCGCCCTCAGGCTTGGGAGACAGGCACCTTCCATGAATAAAGGGGGCCGTGAGCCAGCAAAGGCCCAGAGGGGAAAGGATTGGGGGTGATAGGGTGAGTAAACCCAGAAGAGCTTTGAGTCCTGGACCCTGAGGGGGACAGACAAAGAGGTGCCTGTCAGTGGTACCCAATGATGAAGGAGGGACTTTGGAGTTCAAAGACAGACCCCAATTTGACCAGGAGGTATTCAGTAGACACCCTGGAACAGTTGCAGAGGAGTGAGTATGCCCTTTTCTTTAGTTTTTCATCATTTTGAAGTCTTCATTTATAACTACTGAAAATTGTTGTTGGGTCGAACCCTGGAGTCAGAATAAGAGCACTAGAGGCTGCTGATTGATTTTAAAAAGGCAGGCAATGATTTATTGAACTGGCCAGGACGGCCACGAGAGCACCACACACAGGTGGGAGTCCACACTCACGACCGCACCGTTCCAGGTGTAGGAAGTCTTTTTAAAAGTCTAAACCACAAGGATTTTCCTTTATTTTAAATTCTAAATTTTAAAGGCTGGGAACAGCCTGAAGGGTCATTCCCAGCCACATCCTCATGGACGTTGGAATGTGGCCCTATCTTGCGATAGTAGATAGTACAGAAGCAGAGCTGAGCAGTTAATCTCTAAAGGTTATCTGCAGTTTCTACTCCTGAAGCTACTGAGTCAGTGGGAATCAGTATCCTGTGGTCCTGGTCCACAGGAACAGAAAAATTGCCTTAGCCTCCAGGTCTCAATCTGGAAGCTGAGACAACTACCCTATTGTTTCAGCAGGTAAGCGAGTGCTGAAGCCAGAATAGCAGGGTTAAAATTAAAACAGCAGTTTTTACCTAAGTATGGTTGCTACGGTACCATACTTCAAAAATAGTGATCTAAGCTCTGTAGGCTATACAGGACTATAATCCTATGTGTAGAGTTCAGGGTCACCTTACCCAAAGATAAGGGAGGTAATGTCCCCAAACCTGTGGGAAAAAGGGGTTCATAAAATCAACCTCCTAATCCTGTCACAAGGGTTAAAGGAGAAAGCAAACGTGAAACGCTTGGCCACTGACTGTTCAGTACATGCTGATTACCCCCAATTCACACTGTGTGCAGGTATCATTATCCCCATTACACTGATGAGGAGACTGGAGGTCTGCGAAGTCAGAGAGTAAAAATAGTAACAGCAACAACCACAGCCACCCTTTTGAATATTCTATTATAATGGAAAGATATGTACACATATAATACCTTATAAATAAATAAATAAATAAATAAATAAATAAATAAATAAATAAAAAAAATACTCTATTATGATACATCATTTAATCTTCCACTGCTAGCACGTGGTGGCAAATATAGAGAAAACAAATACCAATGAATATTTCACTCAATTATCACGCCGCATGCATATTGATATTTTCAAAGAGTATTGTGCAACGTAAGGATTGGGTGTCCACCAGACACAGGGAAATAATGTTTACCTTGTTGAGTCATTATGAGTGATGCACAGTGATGCTCTGTGCTTCCCGTAGTGCCCAGTACTGTGCGCTGTTATCATCCCTACACACTTCACTTGATCCACTGGACAACCCTGTAAGATGGGTATGGAGGGCAGGGTTTAGAGGATCCTAGATATTTGACAGTGTGGCAAATGAGCAAAGCTGGGATTTGACCCAGATCTTTGGGTGCCAGATGTAGGCTTCGCTCGGCTACATCCTTCTGCCCTCTTCACAGATATGCCTGAAACCAATCCTGATTTAATGAAGGCAACTCTCTGTTAACACATATTCAAGCTTTGTGATCGTCCCTCTTTCACTGACTCTCTTGCCAACCTCTTTTGCCAAAGAGACTCCATCTGCCCGGCCAGGAGATCACGGTTCGATTCCCGGTCGGGACACATGCCCAGGTTGCAGGCTTAATTCTCTCTCATCACTGATGTTTCTCTCTCTCTCCTTCTCCCTTCCTCTCTGAAATCAATAATATATACATACAAATAAATATATATGATCTCTGAACACAATAATCTGGCCATTCAGTATATATATTAGAGGCCTGGTGCATGAATTCGTGCATGGGTGGGATCCAGCCAGCCTGGCCAGGGAGAGGGGACATGGGTGGTTGGACTGCCTGCCTACTGGTCCAACTCCTGGTCGAGGGGACAATTTGCATATTAGCCTTTTATTATATAGGATATACACTGAGTGGCCAGATTATTATGATCTCTGAACGCATAATAATCTGGCCACTCTGTTTATACAGTATACATATATATACTGTATATATATAATGCCATCCAGGTTTATATGCACCAGCTCACACCAGACCCCAGAGCTGTGCAGTCAACGTGCTTTAAGTTGCCAACAGGACACATTGAGATGTTGCCTTCTCCCCGAGGAAGAGAGGATGGTTGGGCAACTCACAAGTGGCAGACACGGGGGTCATGACTTCATCCCTGGAAGGCTGCAGCTCTTTGAAAGCCCAGCACTTGCTGCCCGGCCCTCACCCCCTCTAGTAAAGCCTCCGTGGTACGCCTGCGTGGGCCCCAGGAAGGTGAGCCAAGCTCTGACATTGAAATAACGGCATGTCCCCTCCGCAGTCTTCCCCCAGTTGGTGAAGGAGCTCAACGCGGGCCTGCATGTGATGATTCTGCTGCTCCTCTTCCTGGCCTTGCCCCTGGCTCTGGTCAGCATGGGCTTCGCCATCCTCAACATGATCCAGGTGCCCTACAAGGCGGTCAATGGGCCCGGGGGCATCTGCCTCTGGAACGTGCTGGCAGGTGAGGAGGGCCCCTGGAAGAGGTTGAGTTCCGAGAACCTCGGTGGAGGGTGTGAGGGCATTCACCTGCCGCCTCCACCTTCGCTTCCCTGGGTCTACAGCCTTCCTGTGGGGCCCTGATGTCCTTACTGAACACGGCAGAGTCTCTGTCACAATAAAGGCCAAATGGTTAGTGCGCATGAGTAGGGGCTGCTGCTGGGAGGAGCCCTCGCGGGTGACAGAAGAGAAGAAATCCGGGGGTTCCACCTGCCTGTTTTATTTAAACCTCACAGCCTCGCCAAAACCGGTTTGGCTCAGTGGATAGAGCACCGGCCTGCAGACTGAAAGGTCCCAGGTTCGATTACGGTCAAGGGCATGTACCTTGGTTGGGGGCACATCCCCAGTGGGGGATGTGCAAGAGGCAGCTGATCGATGATTCTCTCTCATCGATGTTTCTAACTAACTCTCTATTCCTCTCTCTTCCTCTCTGTAAAAAAAAAAAAAAAAAAAAAAAAAAAAATCAATAAAATATATTAAAAAATAATAAAAATAAATAAACCTCACAGCCTCCATGTAAGAGGTAGGGAGTTTACAGATGAGGAGCCCAAGCTCACAGGTAAGGTCACACAGCAGTGAGGAGCAGAGATGGGATTCGGACTTGGGTAAAGCTGAGCCCAAGACCTTTGCCTTTTCATCAACCCTTGGTCTCACTGATAACCATGGCGCCCTATTTTCCAAGCCAAACCAGGGCCTGGGCCAGGGGGGAGCCTACAATGGAAATGGATGCCCTTGACCGGAATTGAACCCGGGTCCCTTTGGTCTGCAGGCCACGGCTCTATTCACTGAGCCAAACCAGCTAGGGCATGCAAGATGCTCTTATATCTTCCCACAGTGCCTTCAGGGCCTACATCCTAATCCCAAACGGTTTAAAAATTGAACTAATCCAGATATGCACACCCTAGAAAGAAAGGCACTGGGCAGGGGGAAAATTAGAGGGGTCAAGAGTGAGAGCCCACCCTATCTGAAGCTTATCCTCTTTCTGCAACACCTCTCATCCCTCACAACGTGTGGGCTACCTGCCACTTTAAGAAAATTTGTGTCTCCCTAAGGGCATTTAAAATATATATATATTTGATTTTTTGCAGAGAAGGGAGAGGGGTAGAGAGTTAGAAACATCGATGAGAGAGAAACATTGATTCAGCTGCCTCCTGCACACCCCCTACTGGGATGTGCCCGCAACCAAGGTACATGCCCTTGACCGGAATCGAACCGGGGACCCTTCTGCCTGCAGGCGGATGCTCTATCCATGGAGCCACACCAGCTAGGGCTCCCTAAGGGCTTTTTTTTTTTTTTTTTTTTTTTTTTTTTTAGCCAAAGCGAGTGTGTTGCCTGGGCCGCAGGTTGTTACTGCTGGCGAAAGGCACTGCAAGTGAGGGCCACCTCTCTGGGTTGCAGGTGGCGTCGTGGCCTTGGCCATCACCAGCTTCATGGCCGCCGTGAGGTTCCACGAGCTGACGGAGCGCATCGCCAACTTCCAGGAGCGGCTGTTCCGCTTCGTGGTGGTGGAGGAGCGGTACGAGGAGTCCTTCTGGATCTGCGTGGCCAGCGCCTCCGCCCACGCCGCCAACTTGGTGGTGGTGGCCATCAGTCAGATCCCCCTCCCAGAGATTAAGACCAAAATAGAAGAGGCCACGGTCACGGCCGAGGACATCTTGTATTGATAGCCTTCTCCTGGCCGGCCACGCCGTCTCCTAAGTCAGCCTGGGGCGGGAGTGGAGGCCTCATCCTGGCTGCAGGCTTCGCCGTCCAGAAGGCCTATGATTTGGGCAAATAGAAGAAGGTGACGGGAGGATGGAGGCTGGTACCGCAGCCAGACGAGAAAAACGGTCCCGGATTCCCGGCATCGCTGTCCTTCCCTCTCCATGGCCTTGGACTTGGAGCTGGAGACTTTGCTCTTGCCAGCTGTGTGACATTGGACCATTCATTTCACGTCTACTTCTCAGTCCCCTCGTCTGTGAAATGGGGATAAGAATGACCTCACATGATGTAATGGGCTAGCATGTTGCCAGGCTGTGGATATTGTAGAGCATTCCACAAATATAACACACGAATATAAGAACATTCCAATAGAAGCCTATGGACCCTGGCCTATTCCATGCATTATGGTGGGGGGGAGGTTTGTTGATGTCCCTGCCTTCCGGAAACACTGAATCTTCCCACCTGACACAGGAACCAGAGAGCAATAATAACATTAAGAATGAAAATAACTGCCTTTTTTTTTTTTTCGATTACATGTAAAAAGTTGTTCTTAGAGCTTTAGGTACATTAGGCTCTCACTGCAACCAGAGATGATCAGTATGGCTTTCTATTTCCATTTTATAGATGAAACTAAGGCGCGGAGAGGTTGGGTAACGTGTGAGGTTGTTGGGGGGCTTGAACCGTGGAAGCTGGAGCCAGGGTTTGCATGGGCAAGCACTTTGCTAGTCTGTTGTCTGGTGCATAAAGCAATGGCAGCAGCCCAGTGTGTGTGATCAGTGCTGTGACAGCGCAGACGTAGAAGGCTGAGGAAGGAATGAGTTCTTCGGGAATGGAGGAAGGGACGTGGGATTAAATAAAGAACGTGTCACACGGGTGACATTGGATCTGAACTCTGAAAGGTGTGCAGTTTTTCCAGTAGTGAAGGAAGCAGGGCTGGGCAAAGGCCTTCAGGATGTGTCCGTGATGAGGGGAGATGCAAGGTGTGGAATTACAAGGAAGGCTTGGAAGCCCAGGGATAACCCAGAGGGATTAGAACTAATCCACCCGGGTGAAGAAGCCCAGCTATTCAGTGTTGGGCATGCACTTTCCTAAGCGGTATTGTGTGACAGTTAATTGTATGTGTTGACTTGGCTAGGCCGAGGGATTTTGTTGTTTGCTCAAACACTGTTCCAGATGTTTTTTGTGAAGGTACTTTTGGGATGGGATTTACATTTAAATTAGTGGACTCTGAATAAAGTAGATTGCCCTGCTTATGTGGGTGGGCCTCATCTGATCAGTTGAAGGCCAGGATAAGACTTTCTAGTCCCAAGGGAGAGGGAATTCTGCCAACAATTGCCATTGAACGTAAAATGCACCTCTTTCCTGGAACCAGCTTACCCTACAGATTTTGGTCTTTCCAATCTCCACAATTATGTGAGCCAATTTCTTAAAATAAATACCCCCCTCCTCTCTCTTTCTCTCTCTTTTTTTTCTCTCTCTCTCTCTTTCTCTCTCTCTTCCTCTCTCTCTCTCTCTCACCATATTTACATAATGCACACACATTCTCTGGTTCTATTCCTCTGGAGAACCCTCCCTCACTCAATTATATTAATTTATTAATTCCTGGGGTAGATCTTCTCCCAGGTCTCCTGTCTTTATGCCAAGTAAACGTTAACTTATCCCCCAAATTAGCTTCTTCTTACATGACACCCGATTTGGACTCTCTCTGCCTTTGCTTAATGTGTAAGTGTCCATGGCATTGTTCTGTCCTAATTGCTTATGACCCCTGAGGGGCCATCTGTCTCTTTCAGCCCTCCACCCCCACCCCAGACACAGCTGCAGGCCTAGTTAGTGGACTGATGTCACTCATCAAATATGCAGATGGCACATGGCCGAGGGAAGAGTTAACTCGAGAGGCGATGGATCCAAAAGATAGTGGCAGACTGCAGTGCTGTCTCAAAACACATGGGAATGTCAGTGTCCCGCTAAGTTTAACATCAAGTCCTGCTGACAGTGAAAAACAATCAATCACAAAAATACGGGAGACGAAGGCAACAGGTTACATAAATAACCTCTGAGGATCTGGGTACATTTATTCATTCAACAAGTATAGGAGCTGATCCGGTGCTGGGAGTAGAGCAATGAGCAAACACAAAAATCCCTGCCCTCCAGAGATGTCCTTCTTCCAACAGCGGGGGATGACGTGCTGAGAAAGCGAGTGATGGAGCCACAGAGCCCTTAGCCCAGCCAAACTCTCACCCTGATGCTGACCCCAGGCGTGTGCGGGCTGTCATGAAGGGACAGGGTGGGTTTGCTTTTGCTCCCAATAGCAGAATCACCTTATCAAGATGGTAACCTTGATCGGATGGAGGTGTTCCAGGGAGCGAAGGGCAGGTTTTTGTTCATGTGTGCGTATTCCTGGTGAGGGAGTTCACAGTTTTCTAAAGAGTTTCAGAAGTGTCTGTAGCACCTGAAGTGTTTTAAACCAACGACCCATCAGGGCCAGCTGCAAGGTCACTGGAGCTAATCAGGTCAACACAGTTCACTCCCGTGGTCACCCAAGTGTGGAGAGAATGTGTGGCTCCTTCAGTTTGACTGTAGCTAATGGCCTGGTCATGCATACGGTCTCTCCAGGGAATGCTGAGCCTCCCTGGGATACAGCGGCTTCTCCTGAAGGTGGCTCTCCGGTGATGGAAGAGGAAAGCACCCACACACATACTCCTGGCCTCCTGCTGGCTTGGGGGGAGAAGGAGGGAGATAGGTTCCTGGCCCCCTGACTGCCGCTTGCTCTGCCAGCCTCCCCAGCGCTGCCTGTGGCTGGAATAGTTTGTGAAACGTTCTTTCAACTGGTCCGAGTCCAGTCACTGCTGGAAGGCTTGCCCTCATCTTGGATCCTGTGGGCCTGATGATCCCTGAATGGCCAGCAAGTGCTTGCTCCTTCCAGTTCACCTGTGTGCTGGTCCACGCCCAGGCTCTGCTGCAGTCACCCACCTGCGTCAGCAACCCAGCAGCCCTGCCTGGTGTCAATTCAGCATCCTGCCCCCAGGCATGGGGTGGGATGGGGTGTGGTGTGTGTGTGTGGGGCGTTTGTCCTGGGCTCCTCTCCATTTCCTCTTACAAAGTGATTAAGGCGATTCAAAGACTAGTAATCTCCCCTCAAATTGCACTTAAGAAGTTTCCTGCTAATGTGATATAGTCCATTATGAAATAAATTCCGTTTTAAAAATTAAGTCTCCAAACTTCATTACAAATTTAAAAATTAAATCCTAGAATAGTCTTTAATTGGCATGAAATAGTATATACTTGGTATGAAACACGCAGAGCCCATTGAGATGGTTATATTCCCCCACACCTGGAAAAAACATTGTGGAACTCATTTCCTGCCAAGTGCTTCAAGCGGCCTTGACAATGGCCGAAAGTTGATGGGGGGAACATGATTCTGTGCCTTAGGTGCTGCCCAGCCCTTTTGAGGTCACCATTTCCTTATTCGGAGAATGAGAAAGTTGCACTGCATGCCAACGACCACCCAGTGTACTTGACGCGCTTCCTTCCTGTGTCTGACAACAATTACTCAAGAAACATGATGCTGTCTTTATTTTACAGACTCCAGAGAACTTAAATAGCTTGCTCAAGTCACATTACTACTAAAGAACGGAGGAAAGGTTCAACCCCCATCTGCATAGTGTCAAGACCACCATTCTCCCACTACCCCATGCTTGCCTTTCCTTGTTACAGAAGACCGGATAAAATCCAAGCAACGCTTAGAGAATGAGTTACGTTGCCTTGTTACACAGACTGTCTCAGTGGAGTCACCGTCCAAAAAATCTGAGCAAAGCAATATGGTGGGAGCTTTCCTTTATGTTCTATTGGTCTCTTTGTCCCCCAAATATGTTTTTTTCCGGGCCTTTAGCAGGCTTTACAAAGAGCCCCAGGTAGATGTTTTGCAGGCAGCTTGTAACCTTGAGCACAGCACAACTTAGTGGATAACTAACAGGCACCTGGTACGGGGGTGAGTAGAAACAGCAGCAGAGCGGCTTGCAAAGTCAGACAGTTGAATTCACAGAACAAAGGACTATTTGTACATAGTAGAAATTCAAACAGCAGTTTTTACAAATAGAGGTTACTATATTATAGAAAGAATTAGCTTTTAGCTTTCTCATCCTGAATAACTCGGGGCGAGGAGGGGGGTACAAGTTGCAAGTTGCACCCGCCCAAGGGGTATCTGCTCAAATCTAGTCCATGTTCCCCTGGTTTGTCACGGCCTGACCACTCAGGGCTGCTTTCACCCAGAGAGGGAGTCTCTTCCTTACACTCACCAAGGTGTCTGCTAGGCTCAGAGTGCTTTATCCCCATCCATGTAAAGTGCAAACGTTCATGATAATATTAGTTTATGACATGGATTATAGCATAATGATTACTTTTCATATGTCCCTTAAAATTATCATCATTGATAGATTATCACTCCTCCTTATTTTCCTTGTAGTTGTGCTTGTTAAAGTAGGCATAGGGCTTCAGAAGAAACCTGTGTCACCATGACCAACATGAAGTTATTGCCGAATAAATTGGGGTTTATGCTCTCCCTTGCTCAACTGCAAGGCACCCGTGAGCCAACAGGTCCCATGCCAGGCTTTGTGCTGCATTCTCCACATGAATCATCTCGTTTCATCCTCACAAAAACCTGAGGAGTTACTCTGATCGCCAGCTATTGGGTTAAAGAATTAGAAACTAGTTTTCTCCCTTGTAAAATAACCAACTTGAATAAGATGATCTCTGGTTTTGCTTTTCACTCTAAAATGTTTTTTAATCTTATATTTTAAAAACTTATTTTAGAGAGAGAAAGGGGGAGAGAAAAGGGAGGGAGAGGGGAAGAGGAAGAGAGAGAGAGCTAAGTCTTTTGCTTTGAGGGCTTCCATCCAATTGCCAAAGGCGGGGACCCTAGGGCACTTCCCAGGGAAGGATCTCAATAGAATATTCATCATCTTTT